GTTATTTGAATGGAAAGTGTGTTGTATATGGTTCTATATAGCACCAGAAAGGGTTCTTCTATTCATACAATTCTGCATCATAACGGTAGCAGGATCTTTTTTGGTGCTATACAGAACCACATACGACACATTCTTCATCAATCTGAAGAACCACTTTACGATGCAAGCATGCAAATTGTTCTTTTAGTGTTAAAGGTTCCATATAGGACCACTGTCTTTACTAAAGAACCCCTGAAGAACCTTTTTTAAGAGTGTACTTGTGTGTTAAAATTGAAGGCCAAATAGCTACTCTGTGTGTGTGTTTGTGTGTGTGTGTGTGTGTGTGTGTGTGCATGCATGGAAGACAGAAATACTGCAGGAGGAGGAGGAACACGCCTTCGCTTACAAGAACCCACATGTAAGGCGTGAAGGGACGCGCCAGAGAACTGCACAAAAGCCTTAAATTGTGTTTGTGGTCTTTTTTGTGCTGTTTTTCTCATTACGTTCCTGCAGCTCAAGGGCGCGAAGCCTATTCGGGCCTGCTGTCCTGCTCTCTCTGGACGCCTTTGATCTTATCGAGGCTGATTTCCTCAAAGCCCGGCTGTGGAAATCAGGAACAAAACTTGCGGATTCAGCAGCGAGGCGTCCGGGACACGTCAGGCGGAATAAGGCGAGGCTAAGTGGCTCTAATGCCGACTGAGGAATGAGAGAAAGCAGGGCTTAATGAGTGGGCGGCGCCTCACGTGGCAGCAGCTGCAGGGCAGGGTTTGAACCTCGCTGAGGGTCGTCGCCCTGATGACCTGAACGCGCACAGCCCAGATGTTTACTCACTAAAAACGCACACGTTTTCACAGAGCACGCCGATTTAAAGAGTGTTGGAGTACCGTTCTCCATTCAGCACTGCTTTATAAGCATGAATGATACAAACCGTCGCCAACAAAACTGTACGATTTTTTCATTTTTGAAAACACCACCAGCTCCTTATATCCTTATATTGTGGGATTATTGTATTGTAAGATAAATAGACCTAAAGAAGCTCTAATATTACTTACATTAACTAACATTAAAAATTAAATGTAAGATAATGTAAGTACAGTTTTGTTCCAACAGCAAAAGCAAAATCAGTTCCAAAGCAGTTGTATATTAGCAAATAAGGTTTTGCTATATATTGTATATACAACAGTATATTGCGAAAATATATTATAGATCAATTATTGCGCTAGAGAACACATAAATCATGGGTAGTGTGCTTTACTCATATAAGAAATATCAATGCTGTATTATGATTAAAACCACTTTTATTAGAAAACATTGGCTGTTATTCTTTTCAGAAGCTCTTTATATCCCCAACTGTTGCAAATGGATATTGAACATTTTTGAATAAAACCTTTCCATGATTTATATGTGCTTACATAATTACATAATATAATTTATATTAGAGTTACATTCTGAATTTGTAAGTTTGACTCTGCACGCTGCAAAAAATGGAATCTTGTTAAGGGAAGAGATCTTAAATCTAGTCGATATGTCTAATATTTCCCATTTTGAGATGGTTGTGCACTGATTATAAGATTGTCCAGTTTATTTCTAGACATTATTTACTTATTTTAAGTAATTTTACTAAGTAAAATTATCTCACTGTGCTGGTAAATAATTTTGCTGGTTTCAAGCTCATTTCTTACAACAAGCAAAATGATTCGCCAATACAGTGAGATAATTTTACTTAATAAAATCACTTAAAACAGGTAAAAAATGTCTAGAAATAAGGAAAACAGTCTTACATTAAGCTTATAACAGTCTCAACCGGATAAATATTAGATTTATCGACAATATTTAAGATCATTTTACTTAACAAGACACCATTTTTTTGCAGTGCAATTGTGATTTTTTCTCTTTGTTTCATTTGTAAAAACATGGTGAAAATGTTAAGGCTGCTTTTTCTTCCCACAAACAAGACCACACACATTCAGATCATAACATGGTAGTAATGATATCGATTCAGAATCTGCACTGTTTCAACAGAGTTTCTTGTTTCAATGAGCTACGAGTGAGAAAGAGTTAAACAGCATGTAGGAAATTCAGAGGAATCCAGAAGAATTAACCGAAAGCAAAGAGCAAGAGGAGAAAAAAAGGAATTATTTGCAGAGGGTTCATGTCTTGTTGACCCTCAGGCTGCCACAAATCTGCCTGCTGCTGGAACCTCTTCCCTCCTCTAACCCAAAATCTATGGCAGGTCATGAAAGTTACAGAAGATGCTACAAATTTTCCTCGTCGTCTGTTCTTTTAACTCTTTCCCTCCAGCCTCCTGATGTGATCAGTCACATTTAGGCCCAGCTTCATAAAGACACGTGCGGTTCTCAGTCCCAGCCTTGAGTTTGTCTTCATCTTCGATGATGCACAGTGTTAGAGTATGTTATTAGAAACGCCCAGCCGCCATGTTGGTAAGTGAGCTATAACTGACTGCAGCTACGACCCTGCAGGTGGACAAAGACCAAGTAAACTAGCCAGAATGACCACGAAAAACATGAATAGATATGTGGACCCTTTAGATGTGTCTCCAGAAAACACGGCTTGTTTGGTGGATCTGTACAACCTCTACACCTGTCACGTTTAGAACATTTCAGTGTGTGAGATTTTACAAAAACAAAGAAAAATAGCTACCAAAACTTTCAAAGCTCTTAAATAATAAACGCAATTAACCCTCTGTGGTCTGAGGTCGTTCTCTCTCGATTTGTTCATCTCTCCCTAAACTCTCCTTTAAAGGCTCTTCATATATCATGATCCTCATATGTTTCATATCTAAATGCTCCGTTATCTTCATCACTACTTTCCAAAACCGCTGCAGCAGCTTCAGCAGCTGTAAACTCTCTGCACGCCGTTTCACATGAGTCTCCGATGTGGACTGAATGAAGAATGAAGGGTTTCCGGCGTGATGGTCAGTCCTTAGTGATTTCCTGAGTGTCCATCGGTCAGTTTCACACAGAATGTAGACGGACACACGAATCCACCAGTTCCACACGGTGAGAGGCAGATGGCATGTATCTCAGCCCCTCTTCATAGGCTCATAACTCCGGATGTGAGTCTCGTATGATCTGGTGATAAGATGGAATGGAAAGGGCGACTCTACAGATTCAGGAAGTGTTTGAACTGGATTTCTGAGCTGGATCATCACAAAGAAACAGACACAGATATAGAGACAGAGAGTTTGATGCGCGGATGGGTTCGTCTGTGACTGTTTTAAATCTAAGCTGTTAATCTGAGCTGTGGATTGAGGGCTGAACGTTGTTGTGTTAATGTATAAATGTTTGTGTGTGAACACAGTGTTTGTGTTTTATTGTAAAGCACTTTGGTTTTAAATACACTACACTCTAAAAATAGATAGTTCTTCAGGGATCCTTTAATAAAGAAAATGGTTCTATATAGAACCATGAACACTCAAAGAACGCTTTGCATGCATCATGAAAGCATTATTCAAATTAATGGACAATGTGCTGCCAATGGTTTTATATAGAACCTTTTCAAAAAGGGTTCCATTTAGCACCAAAAAGGGTTATTCTATAGTGATGAAGTCAAGCTTGTAACAATGGAAGAACCCTTTTTGGGTGCTATATAGAACCCTTTTCATAAAGCACATTTGCAGCACATTCTCCATCAGTCTGAAGAACCATTTCACCATGCAAAGAACCCTTTAATCATGCAAAGGGTTCTTTGAGTGTTCATGGTTCTATTTGGAACCAATGTCTTTACTAAGGAACCCTTGAAGAACCATCTTTTTAAGAGTCTATATGAATGAAATTTACTTCCAAGTTTTGTGTTGAACTGAAATCTGTCCGATGACCCTCAGACTTTTCGGACTTAATTTAGTTATGAAACACATTTCTATTCATAGGCGTCGCCTCCTCAGCGTGAACGAGTCAAGATTTTATTCAGTTTGTAAGTCAAACCAGCTCCAGCGGGGTTTTATCTGAAAGTGCTTCCTAACTGGCTTTGGGTCGGTCTCCTTCATCAGCGTTCAGGCATCTCACTTAAGGGGAACCTAATCATCTCACTGTTTTCTTTCGCTCTAGTTGTTCCACTTTTCTTTGGCTCCTGTCGAGAGCCTAAATATAGATTTTGTGCCGAAGCCGATTTCATTCCAGCGTATTATTTTTTGATGTTTTATCTCGGGATTTAAAGAGTCCTCCCACTTCCCGCTGATGGTTTGTGACGAATCCCGGGTTTGTGCCTCCGTTCGGATCGAATGGATCTGCCAATCTCGTTCCGCGGATCTAAAGACAGAGGAACAACGTCTGTGTGGAAACTTCCATTTTCCCACACATACAGAGAGCGCTGAGCCCCTGATTAGCCTTACAGCAGCCGAGTGTCGACTCACTACTTTCCTCATGTGCAGATCTGTGAAATAATTGTGAGTTTTGAGTTTGTACACTTAAAATCGGTGCAGTCTGATGTTTCTATCGATTCTGTTAAAGGGCCCACATCCTCCTTTTTCTTATATTTTCTTGTAAGTCTTGTGGAGTTTGTGTACCAAAAACATCTTTACATGACCATTTTCCATCAGGAATTAAACAAGCTGCGGCTTTAAGACTTATATGTAAATGACCTCTCTTCTGATTGGCTGCTCTGTAGTCTGGAAACACTGAAATACTCCTCATATGTGTATATTCAGTGTGAACAACTGGATCTAAATTGTAGGCTGAAGAGATGGATGTAGGTAAATGAGTTGTAGTTTTTATGACATCACAAGAACACAGAATTCAAAATGGGCTAGTTTCCATTGACTTTCATATATATATATATATATATATATATACATTACATGGCAACAAATGCATATGGATGTGATTCTTACTGTAAGAGAATTTAAAATATGCACTTTTTGTTAATCATTGATGATATATTGTCATCATTGAATCATGTCAGCCCTTAATTGTGTGTGTGTGTGTGTGTGTGTGTGTGTGTGTGTGTGTGTGTGTGTGTGAGGAAATGAATGATGACTAAATGATTGATTTCCTCTGTTTCAGCCCCGACTCAGTTCTTCCCTGGTTTCCACCCTCCTGTACCCATCGACGACAGACACACACAGGGACGCTACATCTACGAGCCCTCGCCGGTACCACCGCTCCATGTGTGAGTGAACACACACACACACACACACACACTCACACACACACACATACACACACACACACACACACACACACACATACCTCATTGCTGTACATAAAACAACAACAGCCGCAATATTTCGACATTTACTCAACATTTCTGCAATGCATTGTGCTGATTATTTTTAATAGTTATCTTTCAGAGACAAATGCAGAATAATGATGAATCTACAGACACAATTTATTAAAAAAGAAACAAAACATTTTTTAACACTTCAACACTGATAAATGAGCCTTTAAGTTTAACTCACTAAATACTGACAGATTAATCAATTGCTTTGATAATCATTTCACACTACACCCTTAAAAGAGTTTATCCAAAGGCTCTTTAGTAAAGGAAATGGTTCTATTTAAAACCATGAGTTCTATTCAGAAACATTTGCATTCAGATCGTTGGAGAATGTGTTGTATAGGGCTCTATATAGCACCCAAAAGGGTTCTGCTATTGGTACACTCTTAAAAAAAGACTCTTCAAGGGTTCTTTAGTAAATACAGTGGCTCTAAATAGAACCATAAACACTCAAAGAAGCATTCTTTGCATTGTGAAATGGTTCTTCAGATTGAATGTGTTGTATATGGTTCTATGTAGCACCAAATTGGTTCTGCTATTCGTACACTCTTAAAAAAAGTTTTTAAGGGTTCTTTAGTAACTACAGTGGTTCTATGTAGAGCCATAAACACTCATAGAAGGGTGTGTCAGATTGATGGAGAATGTGTTGTATATGGTTCTATATAGCATCAAAAAGGGTTCTGCTATTGTTACAATGTCAAGCTTGTTACAGTATGAGAACCCTTTTGGTGCTATATATTTTCAAAATGGTTCTATGCAGAACCATACTTTTTTGTAAATATCTTTGCAAATGCCTTTCTAAGGTTTTAGATCTCAGGACATTGTAAACTTTATTATTTAATATTATTTAAAGCTTTTATTATTTCTGTTTATGTGTGGCACCCTGAGTTGCTGCTGTGATATATCGGTCGAGCTTTGCTGTGCTTGCTTCCATGTTCTTTTGGTGGAACCATGATTAGAGAACATCAGAGAATATGATTCTGTTATTGTGCTTCTCTGCTTTAAACGTAAAGAGATGCAGGATATGATTAACTGCATCAGCTGTGTCTCAGATTTATTATTCCTGCACACTAAAAATGATGGCTCTTCAAGTGTTCTCTAGTAAAGAAAACGGTTCTATATAGAACCGTAAACACTCTTAGAACCCTTTGCATGCTTAAATGGTTCTTGCATGGTGAAATGTTTCTTCAGATTGATGGAGAATTTGTTGTAAATGGTTCTATATAGAACCATATACAACCCGTTCTCCATCAATCTGAAGAACCATCAGTCTGAAGAGTGTAGAAGGTGGCGCTGTGGAGCAGTGTTTGTGTGCGGTGTGAGTGTGTGTGAGCGCTGCGAGGTGTGTTCTCCGTCTCTCCCCGTGGGCTGTGATGCAGGCAGCTCTGAGGCTCCGTGTGTCTCTCAGTGTGTCAGATATCAAAGAGTGGGGAACGCGCCCGGCGCCGCGCCGACACATGTCAGAAAACACACGCAAATGAGCGCCTCAGCCTGTTAGCGTGTGATTCACCTAACCACGCTGATCAAGCGCTGTCAGGACACACACAGCAATCACCCTCACACTACAGCTGTTCAGCGAGCGCTCTCTCTCACACACACACACAGACTCACACATACACACTCACACACACACACAGACTCACACATACACACTCACACACACACACACACACACACACGCACACAGACTCACACACACACTAACTCACACACTCACACATACACACACACACACACACTCACACGCGCACACAGACTCACACATACACACACACACTCACACACACACACACTAACTCACACACAGACTCACACACACACACACTAACTCACACACAGACTCACACACACAGATTCACACACAGACTCTCAAATACACACACACAAACACACACAAACACACACGCACACAGACTCACACATACGCACATACGCACACACACACACAGACTCACAGACTCACACATACACACACACGCATCACACACACAGACTCACACATACACACACACGCACACACACACACAGACTCACACACACACAGACTCACACACACACACACACACATACAGTCGTACAAACACACAGACTCACACACACACAGACTCTAACTGCGTCAGTCCAGATCTAAAGAAAAGCTTCTATTCAGCTACAGTTCTTGTCTCGTGCCGTTAAGAGGAAGGAATAAGTATATCGCTGCTGTCAGAGCAAAACATTGTACCTCCAAAATGGTAACTTTACACGAGAAGCAAAAACATACTTTACTTTTAATGTAAGTCAATGGAACCAGACTTTTTTCCAAGTAATTTTAGGTTGATTCCTTTGGTCCATTCATCATGAAATTTACATACGATGTAAAGGACAACAGGCATTTTCTAATTCTGTCAGAAACTGAAAAACGACAAAAGTGGAGATTTTGTTCTGACAACAGTGATATAGCAAGAGTGAAGGAGTGTGTGTGTGTGTGTGTGTGTGTGTGTGTGTGTGTGTGTGTGTATGTGTGTGTGTGTATGTGTGTGTAGGTACACTAATTAAAACACTAACATTTTAATGCAACATGATGCATTACGAGTTGTGTTTTTGTCATCCTCACTAATGTTCATTTAACCAGCTTGGATTAGTTTGTTCGTCGGGACGGAGCAGAGCGTTTAGAGTCTGGCGTCCAGGTTAGACAAAGGCAAGAGCCTTTAAAAAGGGTCACAAATCAAGGAAATGACCTCTGACCTCAGAACTGGGTGGCTCCAGGTTTGCGTAAGTTTGTACTTAAGTTTGTGTGTAAAGTCTTTACTGAGTCCTCAGGTTCACTACTAGCTTCAAACTGTCCTTTTACTAAGTTAGTTTGAACCACAAATCTGTAAGTCGTCTTAACTAGCAACAACTAACTAAAGTGTTCGTCACTTTAACATGACGATAACGTGTTCAGAACCATCTATAAACCCACCGCCATGGAAACACAACAGCAGTTTGTGCAGTCAGGCTGGAGGTTAGGGAACCAGCCTTGTGACCGGAAGGTCGCCAGTTCGGTCCCCTTGGCTGACAGTCCATGACTGAAGTGCTCTTGAGCAAGACACCTAACCTCCAGTGCTCCCCGGACGCCATGGATAGGGCTGCCCACCACTCTGGGCAAGTGTGCTCACTGCCCCCTAGTGTGTGTATTCACTAGTGTGCATGTATGTAGGTGTTTCACTGCACGGATGGGTTAAATGTGGAGGTCTAATTCCTCTGCGTGCAAAACAATCAGAGTTACTGTAGCTATCTGTTAGCTGCATTTAACGCATGGGCGATCGGGCTGTTCCGCTGTCAGCTTATGGAGCTGCTGTTCAGGTTTAAAGGGGCCTATATGCTGCTGGAGCCTCAGCAGAGTCATTTGGCACCATTGATTAAAGCACAAAGGGAGAAAAATGTTGGTCATCTGTTTGATTGTGAAGTAAAATTTTTCAAAAAATCCATTCAAAAATACGTTGTATCTCCAAAATGGCAACTTTACAGGAGAGGAGAAAAACCTTCTTCACTTTCAATGTAAGTCGATGTAAAGAGATTTTATTCTAAGCAGTTTTGGAGCATTTCTATTGGTCCAATCGTCATAAGATTTTCACACAATGTAAAGGAGAGCTGCTGAGCTCAAACTACGCAGAAAACAAAAATCACAAAAAAATGGAGATATGTTTTGCTCATGAAAACGTTCCAGGATCTAGTAACTTTCTCACATTCTACTTCTCCTTGTATTTTCTTGTAAGTCCACTCGTGTTGAGTTTGTGTACCAAAAACATTTTACATGACTGTTTTGTCTAAAATTAAACGGTTCCTGTGGCTTTAAACATGCACAAATTGAGGAAATGACCTCAGACCCCAGAGGCTTAAATGGGTTCAGTGAATGAAGCACATTGAAAGTTTTCAGTGTACTTTTAATCGGACGTCTGCTGACCTCCTGCTTCTGGACAGAGGTCAGCAGCTCAGCTGCAGGGATTCCCTCAGCTTTTTCCTGTCTTTTCTTCTGGACGGCTCCCTTTTCCTTCACTGATCCTCCCCTTTCACCCTGTTTTTGTTAGGTTCCTGATCTTTCCTTGCGTGTTTGTGTGTTCGTGTGCCTTCCTGCCTCTTTCTGTTCCTCGCTCTGTCTTCTCGCTTCTCGCTCCAGCACTAACAGGAAGGAAGTGATCATAGCAGTTGGGGCTACAAATTGGACGGGGCAGCTACTTGGGCCGTATTATGTTTGATATTCTTCATCATTAAATCCTCTCTCTCTCTCCCTCTTTCCCTCTCTGTCTCTCTCTCTCCCCGTTCCGGAGTCATATCTCTCCTGTGCAGTAATGCCGCTAAGAGTAATGAATTTTTTATGTCATCTCTTCGCTCTAACCCCGCGCGCTAAAGAGAGGCGTGAAGGGGGAAAAACGAGAGAGGGAGAGGAGGAAGGAAAAGGCGCTGCTGGGGAACTTGATTGATGTCCCGTGTCAGCGCAAACAAAATGGCAAATATAATTTAGCATTTAGCTTATGCGGAGATAATGGGCCAACACGTGGCTCAAACAAGCCTCAGACGCGCCATCCGCCATGCTTTATCACACAGCGGGGAGGAAGGGGAGGGCCCGAGAGGTGAGAGAGGGGGGCGAGACTGAGAGCAGGTGAATTAAATTAAAGGTGAAGTCGTGACGCCTCTCTCGCTTTATCTGCAGCGCGCTCGGCTTGCCACACCTGCCTTTAAGTGGCCAGGCGCACCTTAATGTACCTGCTTAACAGCGTATGAGATACGCATCAGGCCGAACTCGCGCCGGAGCCGAGAAGATGACAAAGAGTGATGATAGCGTCCGCTATCGTTAATATTTACGCAGCCGCATGGCAGCCGCTCTTATTCAGAGTGAGGCAGAGGCCGGATTGGAGTTACTGTAGCTATCT